CGCCACTCAATTGACACACAATTAGCGATACGTTTGACACGAAACCACACTTTTGTGGCGATTTATAAACTGATTGTCGTTTCGCTGTCTTTTCGCTACAATTATGGCCACAAATGCATTCAATCCGCGCCTCAAATGCACTGCAATTGTAGTGAACTTTAATTGCAATTAAAATTTGGTGCAAATCTGTGTATTTTCCCAGCGATTCGTACCATTAGTGCACAGATATTACGGCACAATATATGCCCACAAATATCGTCAACAAAACCACTGTTCGTCGGACTCTATTAGTGCGCTCTAAACGTCTCACAACTCAATGGAAATTCAGGGCTATTTTAATGTCATATAAATCCATAGATTAAGCACTATTTGGATTAGCACTAAAGGGCCTGAAAGTGAGTCACGAGTTTTGGGTGCATTTGAGTCTCATTGCGTGAATTGAGTGACATTTTTGCAACAAAAACATTGTCCACAGACTCCACACGTTTGCCATTGAGTTGAACGCAATTCAGCACTCATTTCACACTTCATTTGAAACCAGAGTTTAATTCACATCTAAATTATGCCCAAAAATAAAGGTATTTATCATCGGATCCGTTGATCACTGCCTACAAGACATTAACCATTGGTTTGTGTGACAGGAAAGGGAGGAAAGAACCGAAGAAGGGGTAAGAATGAGAACGAGACGGAAAAGAGGGAACTGGTGTTCAAAGAGGACGGACAGGGTTTGTACCACCGATTGTCACCATCACTACCATCACTCACACCATTACACCATCTATTGTCTCACATATTCTTCCGCTTCACTATTAGTTCACTCTCTTTAGTGTCTTTTTGTCTTGACTTTCATCTGTTGATTATGTTTTATCACCACTTTTCCTACCAATGGATGTCTTAGTTATCATACGAACTAATGGTGTGATTGTCTCATGTCTTAGAGTACGCACAAGTGATCAAAATGTTAGGCAACGGACGTCTGGAAGCGCTGTGTTTTGATGGCATTAAACGCTTGTGTCATATCAGAGGCAAACTCCGCAAAAAAGTTATTATCACTTCATTTGATCTCATTTTTAATGATCATTATTAATGTCTTTATAGTTAACTAACTGTAAATGAACTAAATCTACCATTTATTAGCACTTAAGACATACACTTAAGACATAGTATTGATTGAGTGCACGTTTGCCACAAACAGTCACTTCAATAACCGATTGTTCATTCACTGCAAGTGTTGTCAAGTCTTGCATACTTTGAGTCATTATTACATCAGATATTCATTGAATTGAAATCAAATCAAATGACTGCAGACTACAGATAATACTTGAATTAATGAATAATCGGTTAGTTTATGAGTTGCCCTTTATATATGAAAACATTTACCGGTAGTTTGTTAATCAAGTGTTCTGTCTAATAAGTACCGGTTTTCATACCGGTATCTCATTTTTTGGTATTAATTTCTTACTATAATATACAGTATTTAGATTTAATTTAGTCTTAATTGAGACCTAATTAGCCTTAAATTAGTTGTATTGATAAATATTGTGCATAACGTGTGCTGTATGTGCTATGTTTGTCAGGTCTGGATCAACCAGGGTGACATAATTCTGGTGGGTCTGCGTGACTATCAGGACGCGAAGGCCGATGTGATCCTGAAGTACAACCCGGATGAGGCACGCAATCTGAAGTCGTACGGAGAGCTGCCAGAGTCGGCCAAAATCAATGATACCGTCACTTTCAATGACGAGGAGGACGACGANGAAGTCGTACGGAGAGCTGCCAGAGTCGGCCAAAATCAATGATACCGTCACTTTCAATGACGAGGAGGACGACGACGTCGACATCGAGTTCGGCGAGGTTTCCGACGACGAGGAGATCAATGTATGTCTCGTTCCATCCCATCCCATACGTGGCCACAAAGTCTAGGGTTCAGTCATTGGTATTCCCATTCGCTTCAGAAGCTGTGGTTTTAGGGTTAGGGACTGCCTATCGATGTATTTTTATGTGTTATTTGTTATTTCAGTTTTATTTATTTCTCAAGTATATATCATTGAGTTATGTGAACAGTACTATTAGTCTGAATCCTTATATCATTTGTGGCCATTCATGGGATTTATTTATACTTTAACTCATTTCTAATAATACTGTGTTTTGTGTCAATCTCTTACAGCAAATATAAATCCGTTTTCTAATCGATTAATAATAAATATTAAGAAAAGTTTGGAATTAATATCAATTTGTTTTTTGGTTTTGTCTAAAAATATTTGCAAATTGTATTTCAATATTTCAATCTTTTGATACATATTTGACTCAATTTTTAAGGCAAACTATGAATTAGTTTTTTCTCATTATATCTATTACCGTAATTACAATAATAATATTTAATAATAAAAATTTGTGAATCATTTTTATTCCGTAAATGAGATATGAATGTAACATTTAGCTAATTATAATTTATTTGCAAATTCACAAAACCTATAAGATTTATATTATTATTAAGGTATTAAAACTTATAAACATTTTTATAGCTTTTGTGTTAAATTGTAAATCGATTTATATTTTTTAGTTTATTTTAAGTTTATTGTCCTCTCATTAATTGAAAACAAAACTTTCAATCAATTGTTTTGTTTACAGAACTTTTTGTTTTCACATTCAATTGACTCGTATTCTTGTCTCCACTTTCTCGCTATTGTCTCAACACTTTTGGTTAAATTATATTTATATGAATTGTATTTCCATTCTAACAGTAATTGTGTTTTTATGTCGAACTCTATTTGTTTAATAAAATGTTGAAATTTTCAATCAATCTGTTGTCCATATCTTAAGTCAATTCTATTCATTGAGTTGGGAATCAACAAAATTCTTGAAGCTTTGCCATCGATTTTGTTTGTTATGTCTTGAATGGCATACTCTATATATGAGAGTGTTTTTCATTTCATACATTTTCATAAAGACGAGGATCACGTATACAGCAATTGTTTTATAAATTTTTATTTTGTATGACAAATAAATCACAAGCATTTGGCAAACAATTGTCATAAAATATGTTTGTGATGAATGTGTGCTCCCAGAGGCTAACCCCAGAAATGTTGACAAACCTGTTAATTATATTCAATTTTAAAGTTTTATTACAGAATCATTTGTTATGAAATATTTTATTTGAATTAATAAATAACAAAATAATTTTTTAAAGACTTTCATTACTAGTAAATTAAATTCATTGAACTAGATATTAGTTACTACAGTAGAATATAATTGATAAGGTTTTTATTAAAATTAGAAAATGTTTGTCATGTATTCATATATCATGAACAATTTGCTAGTGAATACTATTAACACCAACACTTTGAGTGAATATCATAACAAATATGTAATAATAAAAGTCTTTCCGTTGGATTAGTTTTTATTGACTCAATGAATCAAATAAGCTATAAATCAATGGAAACTTGAGTTTCTTTTTATCGCATGAATTAAAGTTTGTTTCGATGTCTTATCGCACAAAACAATGTAAAACTCATTTATTACAATAGAAATTGTATGACAAATGCGTTTTTATTTCATAAATAAATTTATATTTTGTTTAATTATATTTTACGTCAATTAGTCTAAACCAATGTTTTATTAAATGGCTATTTATATGAACTCAAGTTTTGGCAAATGTTATGTAATCGATGAGCAGTTGACTCGATGTCCGCTATTTAGGATATTATTCTNCGCCACTCAATTGACACACAATTAGCGATACGTTTGACACGAAACCACACTTTTGTGGCGATTTATAAACTGATTGTCGTTTCGCTGTCTTTTCGCTACAATTATGGCCACAAATGCATTCAATCCGTGCCTCAAATGCACTGCAATTGTAGTGAACTTTAATTGCAATTAAAATTTGGTGCAAATCTGTGTATTTTCCCAGCGATTCGTACCATTAGTGCACAGAAATTACGGCACAATATATGCCCACAAATATCGTCAACAAAACCACTGTTTGTCGGACTCTATTAGTGCGCTCTAAACGTCTCACAACTCAATGGAAATTCAGGGCTACTTTGATGTTATATAAATCCATAGATTAAGCACTTTTTGGATTAGCACTAAAGGGTCTGAAAGTGAGTCATGAGTTTTGGGTGCATTTAAGTCTCATTGCGTGAATTGAGTGACATTTTTGCAACAAAAACATTGTCCACAGACTCCACACGTTTGCCATTGAGTTGAACGCAATTCAGCACTCATTTCACACTTCATTTGAAACGAGAGTTTAATTCACATCTAAATTATGCCCAAAAATAAAGGTATTTATCATTGGATCCGTTGATCACTGCATACAAGACATTAACCATTGGTTTGTGTGACAGGAAAGGGAGGAAAGAACCGAAGAAGGGGTAAGAATGAGAACGAGACGGAAAAGAGGGAACTGGTGTTCAAAGAGGACGGACAGGGTTTGTACCAC